CGCGGCGGCCGGGGCCGGGCCGGCCTCGTCCCACCGCGGCTGGGCGTGAGCGGGCCGGACCGCGCGGGCCCGGCTGATCGCGGGCCCTTCTGTCCCCTGGGGCTCCGTGTGGTGTGTGCCGTCCTTCACGTGGGAACGCGAATGGTGAAACTCCCGCACTGCTGCACTGGTGGTAGCACCGGTGTGCCCCTGGAAGCCCGGCCGTGGGAGACAATTCAGCGCTGTAGCCGCTGCTTGCTGGCTGCCACATAAAAGCTGGACTGGTTATATTTATCAGTTGGCTCATTTCGGGCCAAACATATGGCTTTGACGCTTCTGTTTTTTATAGTATCCTATTTTAAGCCCTTAGCAAGACCATTTAGACTGATCATTGTCACAGGGCTGATCGAAAGATGACACTTAAAGACATCCACAACTTAGAGATGATTTATGGGTCTTTAAATGACAGCGGGAGAGGCTGTGTGGTCTGGGGACTGTGCATTATTCAAGTACCTAGTATATTAACAAGAAAATGTGAAAGTACTGCACGTCCTCAAGATTTTTAATCAAAAATTCATTGTAAAACTCTTTCCCACAAAGACAAAAAGATGAAAGATAAAATCAGCTTCAGTCAGCGTTCAGGATGAAGATGTGTTGTATCAGTCCTTTCACTGGAAAAGATACATGTACCATAATATATAAATTTTATTTATATTAGCAGATTCTTGGGTAGAGGAAATGGTACTTGGTGTGCAAGTTACATTTCTGGAATATTGACTTTAAACTGCTCATTATTATTCTTATTATTGATGCTTTCCTGGTATTTAAGTTCACATTTCTTCTACTGCTGCAAGTCTGCGAAGTTGTGTTGAAGTGAAGGAGTGGAACTGGAGGGGGTGTTCTCCAGAGAGATGTTGGCAATCCTGAATTTCAGGGGACTGAATGGAAAACATGACAAGCAGTGTCAAGTCTTACAAACTGCAGGGGCTCAACCTTGCCACAGCCAAGCATATTAAAGGGTGGAAAGTCGTACCTAAGGCAGATTGTGTGTTGCAGGAAGCAGTTTAATGTTAAACTGGCATTTCAAATGGGGACATTTAGTGCAGTTTCTAGAGTTTCAATGTGTGTTTTTGTAAGTAAGGCTCAGGTGTCCATTTGAAGCACTTTATGTTCTCAGTGACTTCAACATACAGAGCTGATGTTTGGAAATATGAAGAGCGTGAAGGAGTTTAAGTATATACAGATATGTAAGAAAAGTGTTTTTATAATTGATAAATGTAGGTCAAGGCCAGCCCTCAGCTATTGTTAGTATTTGGCATTGCTTTGTACTCAGGAATGTAATGCAACTTTAAGGAGTGTTTTATTGTTGCAGATACTAAGCCTGCTCACTGTTAGAGATACTATAAAGCGTCTTTGTCACCTCGTGTAGTGACATGTTTTCTCAGATTGAAAACTGAGCTTGATTGAGGATTTTGGGTTAGCAGCAGTAGGTGATTTCTGAGTGTATCAGTTGGTTCTTGACCACTCAGCTTCAGTTGCTAATCTGGATACCTGTTAGCATTTTAAGTAGTATAAAAGAACAAAACTAGTAGAAAGTAACTCATACAGCTACTTATGGACTCAGCTTTACAGTTTATATGTTACAGATCTGAGTTTCCATAACGTACAGTTCCTACTGCAAAGCTTGGTGTTGTGTGCTGTATTTGGTTCTTCAGGTTCATTCTGTGCTTTTTACTGAAGTGTCTCTTAAATTAGCCTTAATTATTTGACTTGCTTGTAAGAACCTGCTTGGCCAGAGTTAATTAAAAGTTTCAAAACAACATAAATTAATTTTGTGCTTTGTCCAGTTGGTTATCGACCACTGAGAGCTGTGGTTGGAGTGCCCTGGCATTGTTGCAGGATCAAACTTGCCTTTCAAGTTAATTTCCATAAATAAAGTGTAAAGCTCAACAGTAATTGTCTCAAAAGCAGCTCTGAGATAGAATAGCAGTGTAAATGATGGGATGGAGGGTAGCTTTATTAAAATTGCCATGGTGAGTAAAGTACTGCTGGGTACTGCCACACCGTAACTGATTGTCTTCAGTTGTGCCACGGTGCTTTCTCTAGAAAGGAGCTTGCTCATCTTCTGCCAGCTCATTATTTACATAAACTGGTCCATGAATATGAACTGTTGTGGTCCTTAAATTATTTAAAACCACTGTGCTGCTTTCAATCTAAACCTTTTGCCATGTTTAACTTCAAATTTGAGATTCCACAACTTGGAAGCTCTGTCTGATGTCTGAGCCCCTGGAGCAGACCCCTACTTTAACAGTTTCTGCCATTATTTCTTTAGGAATGGAGTGCTTTCCAAGGTACTTCATGGCAGTACTGACTCCACCCCTCAGCCTTCAGGAACAGCCACTTTTCCCACTGGCTGTACTTGACCTTTCTTATCTTTTAAACCTGTTTGCTTCCCATTCTGTGTGTTCATTTCTCCTGCTGTTCTGCAGTGCAGAGTGCATTCAGAGTGGGGTCTGTGTGTATGTGGGTCGCTGCCTCAGTGTTTCCAGTGGGTGGTTTGCTGTGTTTTGTGAGGCAGAATGTGTGGGGTGTCAGAGGTGGGAGTTGCTATGATGCTGAGAGCTCCTGTTAATAGCAGCAGCTGCTTAGGGATGAATAAATGGGGCACTGGTTTCGGCAGCAAGGCTGATCTAAAAAGTGTCTGACCCTTCAACTGAACTGCAGCAGCTTTTGATGTAACATCTGTAAACTGAAGTGCTCAAGAGTTAAAAACAACAAATGAACAGCTTTGCTGAGTTAAGTTTTTTTGCTTTTGATGTAACATCTGTAAACTGAAGTGCTCAAGAGTTAAAAACACTCAAGAGTTAAAAACAACAAATGGACAGCTTTGCTGAATTAAGTTTTTTTCCTCCCTCCCTCCCTCCCTCCCTCCCTCACCTGAGAGCAGGACTTTAGTCACATCTGTGGCATGCTTTGCACCTTGTTAAATGCCCTAGGTAGGTGCTGTACCCACAAGCCTCCTGGTGGATATTCCTCGTCCTTGATGAAACCAGGATGGTTAAAACTGGATGTGTGCATTCGTATACATTCATGTGTATGATGTGCTCACTCGTGCCTGGATGGATGGAGAGGCACCTCTGCTGTCCTGAAATTCCCATGTAAATTTACTGGTCAGCATTTGTTTGCCAGTTATGTCATTAAACGACTTGCACTGACTTGCCAACGTTT